ACATACAAACAATTGAGTCAAAAAATAATTTAATGCAATTTAGCTAAACGTAAAGTAAGAGTTTTTACTAGAAAGACCTAGCCAATATATGACTATTTTCTTTAGCCTTTTTAATACCAGTATATGTGGTAAGATGCTAATGCAATAGTGGAATGGTCCGAACGCAACCTGATCATATAGCTGGTCGCAAAAGAAACAAACGGTTTTTTTCAATTGTGACAGTTCTTTCTTTTTAAAAATATTACTGACTGCGAATAAAGGATTTATATATTTAATGTAATAGACGCACTCGTATCAATGGCCTTAGCATAAGTTTAATATGTTATTCTAAAACGTAGCGTCTATTAAACATCAAATTTTCTTTAGTTACATTTTAAGCTCCTAAACAATTTAAAACCGCTTTCAAGCGGGAATTAATTATCATTCACTGATTGGAATGTTAACACGGATTCTCGGCTGTTTAAATTCTTGCTACGTGCCAGCCGTTCGATGTATCGTGAAAAAGAATCGAATTGTTGATGTCTAGTTAGAAAAATGTCACAGAGTATATTAAGTTGTAGAGCAAATTAATTTGTATTATATTTTTTATCTATTTTAACATAAAAATATATTGTAAATTATTATGTTATATCTAAAAACCACTATGGTTTGTGTATGTAACAATAACAGTCTTGTTTAGGAGCGCGACAAATTCATATAAAACGAGTTTTTCACCTTACTTTGTACCTAGTCCATTTATTAGCCGCGGTAGCAAATACCTCAACCATTTTATTTATTTTAGTTAGCTATCAGACAGATTTGAATTACAACAAAACTATTAAATTTATTTTAAATATACATATTACAAGTTTAGAATCACTATCGTTGTACTTACTAATTATTAATTAAAAATAAGGAATTTTACATGGTATTATTTGTATTTAATAACATTATTTTAAATTATCTCTGCATGAGTTTTATGAGTACATGACTTGCAGACAATAGACTGTCTGAAAAAAATTGGACACAGAAAAAATGCGAGTGCATCACTGCTACATTGCCGCGCAAAATAACGTCAGAGAGCCCGCCCATTCCAATCTGTCAAGTTGACAGCGCGACTCATCGTTCAGAAATACAAACACGATCGCTCGTTAGGCATTGATGACTTCGTTAATTGTTTATTTGGCTTCCTGCCAAAGAATTATCTCCACAAGCAAAAACATTAAAATTTTATCCAATCGAATAAATTAATTCATTTTGCAATAAGGTCTAACTGCATCGCATTCACTAGACATAGGTGAATAATGAATCTACAAAATAGAGAACTACATTTGAAAGATCTGCTGATCTTTTACTTAAAATACATATATACAAATCTTTGAGGAAATTCATATATACATAGCTTCTTTTGGTAGCTAGATTCTCGATTATACCTACGTACGTATGGGTCGCTAGCTTCATGTGGGTTTGATTTGATATCACGAAAAACATAGAGAATACTTATTTGACTGCTTATACTATTTTTAATCTTACATAATGCTCCAATTTAATAAAGCGTAACCATAACAAGCAATTAATGAAATACTACCGCATGTTTCCATAAGCGACGAATTATCATCACTACAAGAATAATGTTGTCTATGCTTATGATAATACAACCAATCAAAATATTAAGAAATAAAGACAAACAATTAATACTTTATGTTCACAGTAAAATAGTTGTTTGTTTGTGAAGTAAAATAAACTTCGTTCGCGTTCGCGCGCGACGCACAGCTGTCAGTCAACCATATTTAGCTCAAAAGGCGCGAAACCGTCACAGCATTTCGCGGCTCATTTCAATTTTAGAACGCAATTTTCGGTTTCATTTTCAAAGAGATGCTAAAATGTTGCCAGCGCAATAAAACACGGGAAGCCGAGCGTGATGTTGTCAGCGTTTGGTAACAAATTGGTTAATTGCCTCTTAGTTATTTATAAGTAGTTGAGTGAAATCCAATTAGGGAATTGTTGACATCTAGTTAAATTTGGTAAAAAATAGTTCCGGGCATAGTTTAACAAGATTTTATGTATAACTAATTTATTAATGTACTATAAATACAAATCTATAGTATATATAAGTATATGCACCGACATAATATTAACTATTTTGTAGTTGTAGATTTTTTACGTTACTATTAGTAATAGCAAAAATAGAAAAGAAGCTTTTTCTAAAATAAATTATAAAAAAATTAATAAAGAATACATCATTAAGAACTAAAGTAGCAGATGTCACAATGAAATGTAAAAGAAGAAGACAATTTAGAAGGTGGATAGACAAGATTAGGGAAACAGTAGGTGGTAGGTACATGGCAGATAGTAGCACAGTGTAGACATGACTAGATTTGGAGGAGGCCTTTGCCAAAAAGGGCACACAGATATCTAGCAATAAATGATATGATTGAAATATAAATGTATTTAGATGTAATGTATCTGAAATAAAATAAATAATAACGAATCATAATTGAATTAAGTTTTGGAAGTTATACTTCTTTAGGCGCGTTATGATAAATTGATGAGAGTGAAATTATACGATGCGCGCGCACCGTGACACAAAATTAACAGAATGAAGTTGCCCACGGGAGATGCTACGGCATTGGACATAATTTAAAACATTCGAATAATTATAGAATTTATGTTACACTTAATGTAAAAGAATAATAATAAATATTTATTTACTTATTTAATTTTTCAAATGTAAACTGAACTTTTTTTTAAATACATTATTTAGATCTTCTCTGTAAAACCGACGCTGCGTTTCTCATATCTATAAGCAATACGCAATAATTGGCTGGAATTAACACTCTCGGTACTTATTCTGACGAGTTAACCCAGTTTTGTTGTAGGTTTACCAATATTTGTAGGGAAAGTCGGTAAGTTGGTATTAAAAGCACCTACTGTTCGATAACTGATTATTATTGGCTATGTTATTCGAACACATAACTCGGGAACGGCTGGACCTATTTTCATGGTTTGTGAGTGTATTTGCCTCCGTCCCGATTAAAAATATTGTTAAACTGGTGAAAAAAATAAGTAAAAAAAGTCCAATACAAAATATTCATGGTTTATGTTTCGTAACTGTCAAACATTTAATGTTCACGCTTCGATACGGTAAACTCTGCCCTCAAATTGAAGCACGTATTTATCTAAATATTTTCGAATCGACATAATATTCATATAATGAATATTTTATATTTTTAAAATGAGAATAATGTCGGCTATGAAAAAGTCAGAAATAACATATATGTAGGACGAAATATTCGTCAAATATTCATGCGTGCGTTCAGAAATTGATTTGTGTAAAATAAATAATAAATATCGAGCTACAAAAAGTTAAGTCGAAACTCACTGAATCATTCCAGATTATTCTGTCAATCCAGTCAGAGTCAGTAGATATATTATTAGTACTAGAATTAATAGATACATTTACGTCGCGAAAGTATAATTAAAATCATAAATTAAGTTCAAATAATCTGTAACACGACATTTATTCGCCGGGTGGTACCATATCAAAAAAAGGTTCCTTCATCTTCTTGAAGCCTAGCCTCGCGTCCCGCCCACTTCCATTTTAATTTTTTGCCATACTATGACTTCGACTACGACAGCATTTCAGGGTTTCGTCAATTATCGTATTTTTTCATGACTTATCTTTTGGATTCGTTTAACGCCGTGAACACTGCACTCAAGGCCCCTCTGACAAACTTCTTTAAGTATTTCCATGTTTGATATATGATAATAGTTCTATTAACAAATATACGGCTGATATATCTAACACTCATGTAACTTTAAAGCGCATCTAGCTAAACGCGTCATCGACATGATTTCTATATCTTTGAAGAAGAAATAAGCGAGCATAGATAATTTGGTCTATAAAATAAAGATTTTAGGGGTTTTAAGTTTTTTTTTTAGTAAATACTCTTTTATTGTCATAAAAGTTTTAACGCAAGCCAATACCATAAGGGAAACAGGAAAGCGTAATTTATAACGTTAGTTATACAGCGTCTCAAGACATCTTGACTGCGCTACCTTGACTGAATTTTTTAATAATATTTCAAAATATAAAGATAAACTTTAATTGGCAGCACACAACATTTTCCTAACGATATCGATATTTATAATAAAATTAGCCTTACATAGAATTATAAGAAATCAATGTATGAAAATCCCCCAACGTAACTCACAATGCACGCCGAGGGTGGAAATAATGTTGCCATTCGTCATAAATTCAATAGGCACTTAATGGACGCCTGGGACTTCCTTCGTTTTTGTTTAAACCATTTAAGGGTCAGTGATAATAATATACAGAACACAGTGCTTTAATGTTATTTTTAATAGCCTTTTCATTGGAAGGAAACCGCAGTTTTATTGCTCTAGTAAAAAAAAACTTTCATAAATGCGTCCTTTCTAAAAAGACTATTCTTGGGTACTTATTTTATGAGAATTCTTAAAAAGAAAATTAGTAAAAATATAATCAGAACAAAATTTCAACTTTATGATACAATAATTTTTATTTTTTTTAATTTATAAAAAATACCTAAGTTTAGTAACAACAAATATTATTGTTTTCGTATAGTGGCGTCATCTTGTATCAGATAGTAAATACCACCAGAGTCAAGGTCTGCCACAAGGTCACATGGTGTATCATAGACAAGAAAGATCACATATTTTGAAAAGTGAAAATAGAACCTTTCTAATAAATAGTAATAATAGATAATCCCTAAATGGAACATATTTAAATTATAAATATTGTGATTTTCATTAGATCGGTTTACTAAAAATACAAGATATGAATACAGAGCATGTGATTTGCAACTCTTAAAAAGTATACATTAAATATGTCTGACGTCAGTGTTGTCAAAATTTGATGTGTCATGTCTTGATGTAATATTTTTGTCCCACCACAACAATAAAATAGCAAAAAATACACTGAAATAAATTGGAGAAATTTATAACTGTGCTAGAAAACCTGGAAAAGGCAACGCAACATAATGCACTGGTTCGGAGGAACAATCGCTGAAGCGGTAACACTGTCGAAACAAAAAAATGCGATTTTTGTTGTTTTCGTTGAAGGTTTGTTTCTTTTGCATCTCTCTATCTCTTCTATGTGATTCAACAATGTTTTTTACCATTGTTAAATTTTATATCCACATATTATTACGTCATCCACTAATGAAATTTCGTAACCATTGGACATTACATATTGATTATTTAACCCTACTATAAACGTTACAATATATTCTTGCATCAATTAAAATAACAGATTACCTCACGAACTACATATACTAAGTGGCTAATATTTCATTTAAAATGTATAATACACAATACTTACGTTATCTGCTATCTTTGCTGTATGTATGTTGCATATTTTCTATCCAGTCTGTTAATTGAAGTGATTTTCAAATATCTTTTGTGTTTAGCTGGTTGTAACATTAAATATATGTCTGTCCTATTGGTTATAGTAATAATAAAGTTAATATTGTGTTCAGGAGACAATGACTTGTCAAAGGAATTAGCAGCAACAATTGACAATGGATCGGTTTTGAAACGGTTGGCTGACCCAACAAACTTCTTAGCAATAAAACTGAAGAGTGGAACTGAAAATTATACATATTTTGCTCAGATTTGTATCCTTTTTTAAAATTGTTTATTGCACACTAATTACTGCTTCATTACAAATAAAACTACTCTAGTAAACTTAAAACACAATGAGTTGTAATATTAAAACACCTCATATTGCACTGTGACCTGCAGTTTGGTTGTTTCTGCCTAGATTGTTACTAGGAACTAGAACTCACCATATAGATTGTAATTTTAATAATTTCCTTAATACCATGTTAGATCAATTTGTGCCAGTACCATCACTATTCTTCATTGGAAATAATGGCACACCTTTAGAAGTTGTTTGTGCTGGTGTTGAAGCAGAGAATCTTGCAGAAAGGATTGACCGTATCCTTGAAGTGCACTGTAAGTAGTCATTCAATTCTTATTAAAGAGGGCTTTATCAGCTGCCAAGTTAATATTTTTTTAATGAATTTTGAATTACACATACATGATTGTTTTTTGTTGTCTTAAAGTTAACAATAAAAGTTAAATATGTACTATGTTTGGATGTCAAAGCAGTTAAACATTAATTATACTGTGTGTAATGCATTGTTTGTCATCAGATCCTACTCTGTCATCTTAATGTAAATTTCTCAAACTAATGTAACTATTTCAGACCAAGGTAAATCACTGCAGCCATCTACATCAAAACAAAATATAAAAGAAGAAACTAAGAACTTACTGCAGTCTGAAGCTGCCGCCACTGAGAAGACTGCCACAACACTTAAAGAGAATGTACCTAAAATATCAGAAGAACCTGGTAAGACCTGCTATTATTAAAAGCATAAATGTGTATGAAATCCTGTGTTCTGGCTTGACTGAGTGAAACTGTGGTTTCACATGCTTGCTGCTTTATGATTTAGTATCTTACCTTAAGTGCTGACACACACTTTGTAGAGAAATAATGGTTTTACAAATCTTAAGACTAAACTCAAGCTGTTTACCAAACTAAACTATAGATTTCAAAGCTTATAATAAATATATTCCTATAGCAAGCTTGTCATAATAATATCTGAGTTGAGGTTAGTTTAAAATATGGATAGTAATACTGGGACATTTCTAATTTGCTCGACAGAAATCTCTGGACCAGCTGCGAAGATCCCTAAGACTGTGCATCATGAAGTAACCCGTTCAGGGACTGAGTACGAGGTGGTGTGTGATGGTGATGTGTGTGTCCGGAAACCAAAGACAGGACAAGATACCCCGGGACCAAGTCATAGGGAGGATACCAATGCTGAAACCCCTATGGAGGTGGTAAGCCTATATTAAAATTATAGACTGGAACTTAAAATTAAAGACGTGAGTGGATGAAGGTGATATGTCGTATTTTAGGTTTTTGGTGTTTTTTGTGTGGATGAAGGTGATATGTATAATTGAATTACTACAAACCTTAAAACCGTCGATATAAAGCTTATTTTTGGAAATAAAATTTTGAAAAAGGTGTTATGTTTAGTTTATTTTAAAAATTACAGACGATGAAAGAGGTATGTACACATATCACCCTCTCACAAATCAACAAAATAAAAACTTTACTTTTTGTGCGTTGAAGAAGGTGATATGTACGAACATAACCACTGCGCTTACTATGTTCGAATAAAGCGACCCTATTCTCCGTGAATGAAGGTGTTAAGTCGCTAACATAACACCTTCATTCACTCAAGAGGTTCAAATATGTTGATTACGTTCGTTCGTTGCAGTTTCGCGCGCTTTCTGTTATTGTCGATTTGTGTCTGTTGGATACTGTGTAAAATATTGTTTAAAATACATAATTGACATTTCTAAAGTGAAATTAATATGGCAGGAGCCAAAGCAAGAGCAATATTGTTGGTGAACGCTGCTTTAAGTGACCGTGTAAACGAAATAGCTCAAAACAACGATGTATACAATAATCATAACCTCAAAAATATTGCAGGTTAGATCTTTACTAATTTTTGATTTGCTTGCTTTGTTTCAATCACAGTATCTACACTATTGTGAACTTTTCTGCTCAACTGAAGATTATAATGTGCCACACTTCATTTGTTACTCATTAATATTTTGGCATACCTAAGAGGTGATGGGGCTACGCTGACCGCTATGATATTTTGTTTTTTTTAGTGTTCATTCTCGTAATAATGTTTTGTTTTGCACTCATAGTTGTAATGGTGTCAAAATAAGATGTGTTAGGGATAAGGTTAATAAACGAAAAACATTTTATGGCAGGAGGAAAAACCGATGTCAATATTTAAATTTTTGGGTGGACTCGGTACGGTTTGGACTTGTACCTGATCGGTGTTTACTAACATTTTTTTTACTATTTGATCGCATGCCTTCTTCTTTGCTTATGGCTTTGATTTTGTAGATAATCCCCTGCGTGTGATCTTGCAGATGCATGCAAAAGTTACGTAATCGCTGAACCATCCACTAGCGGTCAAGGCACAAATTATATTGGCAGCCTTGCGAAAGTTCCTGTCTCTGTAGATGATGAAATTTCAGATGTAATAGAGAATTCCCTAGGGGAAGCTATAGATTATTTTGGACTTTCTTTTCGAAACAAAAAGTCATACACAGTCTTGGAGGATGTATCTCCATTGCACAATAGAAATGAAGATTTTTCTTCCGGTAGTGATAACATTTACATTCCTGAAAGCCCCGATAGCACTAGCTCTTGTGGCGTTAATGAGCATGAATCTGACAATGAATATGCTGATCGGCAGGAAAACCCCATTATTTTCTCCACTAGTGAACAACATGCAAATAAGGATTTGGAAGAAAATATTATGCCAAAAAAGCGCAAAGTATTTCCACCAAAAGAAAATAAATCAAAAAAACGGCCGAGGAATGAACAATCTTGGAAGAAAAATTATGCAGCAATAGCTAGAGCAAAAGGAGAGGAATATGTATCTTACAAAGGAGAGATAATTCCGAAAAAAAAGATTAAGGTAGGGATTTTGTGTCACGAGAAGTGCAGGCTTAAATGCTCAGATAATTTTTCCATTGATGATCGGCAGTCTATTTTAAACAGCTATTATTCCCTGGACACCAATAGTAAGAATGCCCTATTATTCAGCAGCATTGAGAGTATGCCTGTAGCGAATAAACGCTGTAATGCTAGAAAGCATAAATCTGCGTCCTTCAAGTACTACGTAAAAAAGAATGGAATTACAACAAAAATATGCAAGTTAGGTTTGTGCGGAATTTATCAGATAGGTCGCAAAAAAATTGATCTCATTATAAAAGGAATCAAGGAAGGACTTGCAGCTCCAAAACCAGATCAGAGAGGTAGACATCAGAATCGTCCTCACAAAATGGACGATGACGTTGTTAACCGTATAAAAGAACATATTTCTAGTTTTCCTGCTGAACAATCACATTGGTGGCGCACCTGGGTATTCATGTTTGTGATTGAAGCAAAAAAAAAGCCGTATGTTGTACCTGGACTGAAGATGTTGCGGACCGCGGAAGTGCCGAAGTTGCGAGCGCACTTCTAAGATTTGTGGAAATAGATCCAAGTTGCCAAAACAAAGATCACCTATTAATTTGGTCAGATTCATGTGCCGGCCAAAACAAAAATTTCACCATAATTACACTTTATCAATATCTTATCCTTAAAGGATATTTCAAAGTAATCGATCACAAGTTTCCTGAAGTTGGCCATTCTTATTTAGATTCGGATCGTGATTTTGGCAGAATAGAAAAAGTCCTTAGAAAGCATGACACAGTTTTCGTTCCTGACCAGTACCGTGATATCATTTGCAAAGCTTCTCGTAATAATACAGTGATTAATATGACAGAACATTTCAGAAAAATTGGTGAGCTTCAAGATAATCTCAATTTAATAAATAGGAAAAAAGATGTAAGCAATAGAAAAATCAGTTTTAGGGATGGTATCAAATAGATTCGAGTTGAGGAGTATGGATCTTATCTATACAAAGAATCGTACGATGAAATGACACCGTTTAAAAAGGTGGACATATTAAAAAAGAAATCGAAGGTGTCCGCGAATTTAGAAATTCCACGTGTGACTGGTAAGTATGGTACTGTTTCAGTAGAAAAAAAACAGAATCTCCGAGACCAACTAAAGTACGTGAAGCCAGAATATCGCTATTTTTTTGAGTCAATTTTAAGCCAAGGATAGTATCTTTTTATATATAGCATGATCACAAGTGTGATATAATAATATAATAGCTTAAGTTTTTGCAGAGGCTGGTTCTGTGTATTAAAAAAAATTAACATGTTTATTCATATTCGTACTTAGCACCTAATTTTATATAGCCGTAAGGACAAATAGTTTAAGTTAGTTCATGGAAGAAGGAGTTATGTTAAGTTTTTTTTAAATATAATATCGAATAATATCGCAAGAGTTTTATTATCATCGTACCCTCAATATTTAGGATCATTCACACTACTTTGCATTCAAATTCACGGCATAACTAATCATTTAAGCGACTTACAAAAGAAAATTGTAGCAAAACTTTAACTTAAATTTTCTCAAAATCTAATAAATTGCACTTATCACCTTCATCCACTCACGTCTTCAATTATCTGAGAAAATATATGATATAGTTAATTGTTTAATTCCTGTAAAAATCAAATAATCTTTATTAGCCGAGTAAAAAAATAATACAAGATTTAATGATTAATCTGTATAGGAAAAGCCAGTTGAAGACATTCCTGATGTAAACGCAGAGGAAAAGATAGAAAGAGCTAAAGAGCTTATCGAAGCAAGACGAAGAGAAAAGGCGGAAAAGGAAAAAGAGGTATTTTAATATTGTGTTTATTTTTATTAAGGTAATAATTACCCAATTAAAGTTTTTTTTATGAATTCTTTTTACTGAACTTTCAGCTAGAGAGGGAAAAGGAGTTGGAAAGAAGAGCGACAGGTCAAGGTGTCGCTGAACTCAAGAGATGGCAGACCGAACAAGAGTTCAAGCAGATACAGGTATCATTTGATTAATTAGTCGATAAAGTTATGATTATAACCAAAAAAATTGAGATTTATTCCTTGTGATTACAAACTCCCTGAACCAGTTGTGGTTCCTCTGGGATTATGTTTGGAGGTAGACTACTTGGCGATTTTAATGTTTTATTTACATAAACTATCTAAGAAAGTTTTTTCGAAATGACATAAAAAAACGAGTGGAGCATGACGTACAGACGCGAGCGGTAACACATGTTCGGCTCTGTACATCGAGAGCAAACAATGTACATATACGGCGAGAGAACGTTGTCAAATATTAGATTGCCTAACGCCAACCAACATAAACAGTAAATTAAAAAACTACTTTTATATGACTTTGGAGAGTTCCTATTACTCGCTATCTTTTCATTTATTTAAACCACAGCGGTGTAATTATGATTTTATTATATTATTCTGTAAAATAAAATACCTATAAATTAAAAAAAAATTACTGAATTAATTTTGATTAAGATTAAAGTTATATGTTTATAAAAAATTTGACTTGGAGGGTTAACGGGTAATTTTGTATATATCATAAAAATGTGAGTAATTTGTATTCCTGATCGTAGGAGGAAAGAAAACGTGAGAAAATGGAAAATAATTTGGCGAGACAGCGTATATTAGAGCAAATAGCTCAAGACCGTGCCGAGAGAAAGGCGAGGGATCAGCCGCAGACGCAAACGGCTACGACGCCGCCTGCGCAAACGCTACTGAGTAAGATACTATTTTACATTACATTTTACTATTAAAAAAAATTGCACTAAAAGTTTACCTTGTTCTTTCAAAGACACATTTCTGTGTGTATTTAAAAAAAGAATTTTTGTTTTACGCCTTTAGTACACCTACGCAATCGCATGCGGCAGCGAAACGACGAAAAAACTGTAAGTTGTATGGCAACGTTTCGCATGTGTTTTGTCTCGCTCTATTATATAGCTAGATGAAATATTTGCGTCCTTGTCGGTATTGTTTCGCAAGTAACTGCGAAATGGCTGTTACAAAGACGCAGCCGTTTCGCTAGCGGAGTTTCGCATCGCAATGCGTCACCACGCGTTCTGTCAGTGAGGACAGAATTTCGCACAATGGAAGCCGAAAATATTGAATTATTATTAAATTTGATTCGAAATTATCCCGAATTATATTTAGTTGGGCATGTTAATTACAAAAAAGAGGTGGCATGGAGGAAAATTCAAGAAAAGACGGGGATAGATGGTAAGAAATAAAGCTACAATGACATTTCCTTGCGAAAAAACTGCAGTGTACTAACGTTCCGCAGATATTTCGCTACCGCAATTATTTCGCAAAGACTCGCAGCCGCATACGAACGCGTAGGTGTACTAAAGGCGTTAAACTTGCAAATTTGCGTCTGTTTGTGTCTGGGTGTGATTTGTGATACAAATTAGAATATGGACCTAAGTATGTGTTAGAAACAGATAATTAAAATGACATGTGTTGATTATCATACTTAATTGATTACGTTATATATTAATTATGTTTTAAAATATATGCATGTATTATGTATGTATATTAAAATTTCAGTATATTCTTAGTATTCATACTAAAATAAAAAATATATAAATGATAAAAAAACATTAAAAAAATATTATTAAATTCTGATTTATATTTACTAAAATAAATAAATGCAGTCTTGGCCTAGTAGTTGCAGACTCTCATCCCTGAGGTCGTAGGTTCGATCCCCGACTGTGCACCATGAATTTATTTTTATGTGAAGGAGAACATCGTGAGGAAACCGATTTGCCTTAGACCCAAAGAGTCGACGGCGTGTGTCAGGCACAAGAGGCTGATCACCTACTATTAGATTGACAAATGATCATGAAACAGATACAGAAATCTGGTGATATTTATTTTAAGATAAATAAATAAAATTTGCCATTCACCTTTGCCGGCCAGTGCCTTTACAGGCATACATTTCGCTTAAATAATAAATTAGTATTGTTTATTAATTTAGTATTAACTGTATTAGCATTATATTTATACCAAAAATCATAGATTTTCTTTATCACAGCATCTGGAGATGGCACTCCTCGCGCGAGAGTCCAATTCAAGATGGCGAATGGCGAATCTCACACAGCACATTTCGAAGCGTCCACTACGGTTGAGGAACTGCACCAGTATGTTGCTGATAATTTGCAGGTAAAACAGAACAGATATTTATTATTTTTACATAATCTAATATATAAAATCCTCGTGTCACAATGTTCGTTCCTATACTCCTCCGAAACGGCTTGACCGATTCTTATGAATTTTTTTAATCACATTCAGTAAATTTGAGAATCGGCTACTATCTATCTTTCAAAGCCCTAAGTGATAAGGGGTGTCCACTCCAAAAAAAATATTTATATTTTTTGGATAAAATTTACTTTTTTTATTTTTTTATGATACAACATATAAGATATATTATATACATACAATCCCTAATTTTCATCCCTCTACGGTCAACCCCTATTTTTATTTGTTAATTTAAAACTTATGACTTGAACTCAGAGGTTTATATAGAGAAAAAATCACAGAAAAACCTAAGTTTACATTCTGGAAAATCTATAATATAATAGAAAATCTATATATATATAATACATACAATCCCTAATTTTCATCCCTCTACGGTCAACCCCTATTTTTATTTGTTAATTTAAAACTTATGACTTGAACTCAGAGGTTTATATAGAGAAAAAATCACAGAAAAACCTAAGTTTACATTCTGGAAAATCTATAATATAATAGAAAATCTATATATATATATAATACATACAATCCCTAATTTTCATCCCTCTACGGTCAACCCCTATTTTTATTTGTTAATTTAAAACTTATGACTTGAACTCAGAGGTTTATATAGAGAAAAAATCACAGAAAAACCTAAGTTTACATTCTGGAAAATCTATAATATAATAGAAAATCTATATATATATAATACATACAATCCCTAATTTTCATCCCTCTACGGTCAACCCCTATTTTTATTTGTTAATTTAAAACTTATGTTCGTTCCTATACTCCTCCGAAACGACTTGACCGATTCTTATGAATTTTTTTAATGACATTCAGTAAATTTGAGAATCGGCTACTATCTATCTTTCAAAGCCCTAAGTGATAAGGGGTGTCCACTCCAAAAAAAATATTTATATTTTTTGGATAAAATTTACTTTTTTTATTTTTTTATGATACAACATATAAGATATATTATATACATACAATCCCTAATTTTCATCCCTCTACGGTCAACCCCTATTTTTATTTGTTAATTTAAAACTTATGACTTGAACTCAGAGGTTTATATAGAGAAAAAATCACAGAAAAACCTAAGTTTACATTCTGGAAAATCTATAATATAATAGAAAATCTATATATATATAATACACACAATCCCTAATTTTCATCCCTCTACGGTCAACCCCTATTTTTATTTGTTAATTTAAAACTTATGTTCGTTCCTATACTCCTCCGAAACGACTTGACCGATTCTTATGAATTTTTTTAATCACATTCAGTAAATTTGAGAATCGGCTACTATCTATCTTTCAAAGCCCTAAGTGATAAGGGGTGTCCACTCCAAAAAAAATATTTATATTTTTTGGATAAAATTTACTTTTTTTTATTTTTTTATGATACAACATATAAATTATATACATACAATCCCTAATTTTCATCCCTCTACGGTCAACCCCTATTTTTATTTGTTAATTTAAAACTTATGACTTGAACTCAGAGGTTTATATAGAGAAAAAATCACAGAAAAACCTAAGTTTACATTCTGGAAAATCTAACATTCTCCGGGGTAGCACAGCAAAATGTTCTATGTTAGTAGGTACTAAATAGGTAGGCTAAGTAAAATCCCATTAAGGAGAAACGGAGTTCGCGGGGGCAGCTAGTAATTATATAATATACTAGCTGACCCGGCAAACGTTGTTTTGCCATGTATATTATTTCTAGAAAACATTTTTTTAGTTCAATAAAAATAACTATCAACAATAATAAAAAATAGGGGTTGATCGTAGAGGGGTGAAAATTAGGGGTTGTATGTATTTTTATATGCTGTATCATAAAAAAAATAAAAGTAAAAAATTTTTTGGGGTAGACACCCCTTATCACTTAGGGGTTTGACAGATAATAGCCGATTCTCCGACTTATTGAATATGCATGAAAAATTTCATAAAAATTGGTCGAGCCGTTTCGGAGGAGTATGGGTACGAACGAACAGCTTGCCAGCAAGTGGACTGTGAAATTTGTGGTTAAATTTATATGTATTGAATATAGTGTATGTATGAAAAAGCTGCTCTAGTTAACTAAATTTATAAGAGGTTGAGATGTAAGAACCTAACAACCCTAAGGATCCCTAAGCCCTACAGACGTACTCTGACACATAAATAGTGAATATATAAGTACGGGATGTCTGTACCAAGAGACATCAGGTGACAGACGGAGCCCTACGGGTAGGATCAAAAGTTCAAGGTGGTGGGATTATCTCAAAGCTATCGGGCAGGCTCACCACGATAATTAAGGGCTTGAAGCAGTCTTCGCCATTTTGAGAGGAAGTGAGAATTGAACACGACATAGCAATATTCAAATCTGATTTATTGTTAAATAAATTGTGCGTGTACTAGGTGTACACACGTAAGAAGTGAAACTTCTTTATGATCTTATTTTTCGAAAAATGATCTACTATATGCAACTTTACAGAAATTCGTTAAATTAGATAAAGTTTAACAAAAGGCTTTTATTATCATAGACATGAATACAAATATTTCATTTTACCTTATTACTACGAAGATTATTATAGAATTTCATTAATTGTAATAGAATTATTACTATCATTGAAAAACGTGACGATTTGCTACAAAATTTCTCCCATACGTCGATAAAGAAGTTTCATTCCAACGCCGATAAAGAAGTTTGACTTCAAAAAGCAACAAGGCGCGTAACCGAAAAATGTGACGCGTAACGAAAAAATGTTACACTAAATTTTTTTCCAACCTCGATAAAGAAGTTTCACTTCAAAAACAATATTTTAAATGCTACTCCCACCTATTCACACATACATAATATTATTCTTGTGAGCTGTTGGTGTAGCGTGGACGTTCAGCTGTTAATATTTAGAACAACCGTGTCAGCAGTTGGTCAATGTCCAAATGAAATCTGAACAAACATCTTATTAAAATTGTGTACTTAGTTCACCACCAGGTAAGGGAGCGTTCAAGTATTACGTCACGCAGTTTTTGGAGATTATCGACCCCCCCCCCCATGTAACGAGCCGTAACGTTTTTCTGTACCCAAGTATAGTAAAACGTTCGTAATCACCTAATGACTCTTTATACATAAATATTACCATTATGTGGTGTAAAGTACTGGAAAGTCGAAAATAATATTAACAATAACGCGTAATTCGATCCCCGCCCCGCATCGTAACGTTTTACAAAAGGATGAAAAATTCTTTACGTAATACTTGAACGCTCCCTAATAGGAACTCAAGAAGTTGAATTACGTTTATATATTTTATTAATAATAATACATTTATATGATGAATGAAACTCCAATGTGTTGCTGAAATTATTAAATTAACAAACTCGAATTAAAAATTCAAATTATTATTAAATTAATTAACAACATTTATTATTTTATAAACGTTTTTGAAATTGACTTTAATCCTAAGTCCTTTTTACTTCTTGATTGGCTTTAAGTAATTCCTTTAAAATCTAAGAAAAAAATACTTCCAAAAAAATTTAATGAAACATCAGTTAACATAAGAGGTAAAGAATCTAATCTAAGACATTTGATTATTTCTTTACATTTTTTTGCATATACAATTACAAAATGTGTCAAACATGTTTATGCGTCTGGCATGTAAATATATGCATTATGAACATTTAAGTATTTGTCCAAATGATTAAATCGGTTCGATTTCCTTAATAAATCTTGAAATCAAATGTCGTATTTTGGTCTTTTGATGTTTTTATTTTTAGTCATGAATATATATTACAAACACAGGTGCAAGCGTCATGGAATTCATTAAACGCTTTATTCAATCATTTCTAAATAATTCACTTTAAAATAATCTTTTCAAGTAATTATAATTTTAAATTTAAACCAAAATCACATTTTCTTATTTAAAATACAAAAAGTTTGTAAAAACGGTCCGGATGCTTGTCTGTACCGCTGCTCATGGACAATCGTACTGTAAGAAGGCTGCTAGTGTGTCCTTTAAAAATAGGTAGTCTCTTTTACTTAATTAAAGCAGTATTTGATAGTGATAGTGATAGACCACGTACTCTAATTAGCAGGTATTTACTTAAAATGTATATTATAATAACAGATGACACGCCTTTACACAAGGACTCCATATCCACAGGCGACTAACATTTATCTATAGGTAAATACTAAGAACATTCGAAATGTGGAAATAAAATAAGGCTTTATTGTTATTATTAACAGATGACACGTACCTCGTTTTCTCTCTGGACGGCGTTTCCTCGTCGCGAGTTGACAGAAAACGATGCGACTCTGCGCGACTTACAACTAATCCCTTCTGTGGCCTTGCTCGTCCTTCCGAGACGTACCACCATCGTGTCTTCTAGTCCTTCGCCATTTAGTTCTCTTATTGGTGAGTGTCTATAAACGATATTTATTTAAACACAGTACTACACCTCAAACCAGTGGCGTAACTATACCATCTGGGGCCCGTGGCAAAATCTTTTGATGGGGCCCTATCTGTAAAAATCGTCATGTTGTACTCAGTTTAATTTTAATAAACCTCGAGATTTTCAGCGTACTCAATTACACGTTGTATATGTCCCACTAATGGCCATAGGCCTCCTCTCTTAGGCGAGAGGGAATGGTGGTGTGTAGTCCCCACGCTAGCCCAATGCGTATTGGAGATTTAACATTCATCCATTGAACATAATATCTCTTGCGCAGAGGCCCTCTTGGATCGGGGGCCCGAGGTATTTTGCTAGCCCTGCCACCCTATTGTTACGCCACTGCCTCAAACTTGGCATCAGTTTTCTGTATGTGTTACGTGATAATCTTTTTTAATAAACCTACTTGGTCTATCAGATGTTGTAATGGGTCTAAGGCAGTGTTGCCTTTTGTTCCCTAATTTGATTGTTACAATTTCCTAGTAATTTCTTCCTAAAACCTATTTAAGATTCTTGAGTGAACAATTAAATTATTAATATTAAAAATTATGTATGGTACATAGTGGACATAAGAATTTTAGACAGGATAAGGTGGGGCACATAAATAGTTGGGTGTTTGTTGTAAAAAGGTGCGATGTTTTCCTTCGTACGAGCGAGTGTTAAAAATCCTTACACAGCCGTGATTCGAACGTACGACCTTAAGGCTAAGAGATACTTAAGATTTGCAACGCTGCTGCATGATTTTATTACAATTTAATTTTTTTCAGCATTTTTCTCACAACTTTTCTCCTCAATGGTCTTGGATCCATCATATCAGCTATATACGTGGGTTCGGTCGCGTTTGTTTGGGGCAACGAACCCCACGCGAACCCAGGGAGGTCCGGGAAACGTTTCGCCGGGGAACATTCCATCAGGCAACATTCCACCTGGCATCAGGCGCAGGGGAAATGTGCATAGACTGACAGGGGACAGGCCAGACGATGATAATAATACATGGAATGGGAATTCTACACAACAAATGTGAGTGCTATAAGGCAAATTAAATTAATTAAAAAAAAAAGGGTGCGTGTACTTATGTACGCGCGTAAGAAGTTATACTTCTTTGGCATTATTAATAATATATACGGATAGTTAACTTTAATTGTATTGAAGCACTTAGGAAGGTCGATGAGCACAGTTTTTTCACAAATATTTTCTAATATTAATTAGTATTGATTTAAATATTCAATTTAAATCACTTCTGATTATAATTCAGACGCACATATAAAATTCGCACTTGTATAATGAAAACAAAATGAAAACACGTGTTTTAAATGTAGAAACCAAAGCATGTGGATAAATATTATAAATATAAATACACAGTGAACAGAGGCGGCGTGCGTGCAACATGCGCCACTAACTTCATTCTGTTAATTTTGTGTCACGGTGCGCGCGCATCGTAAAATTTCACTCTCATCAATTTTTCATAACGTGCCTAAAGAAAATAACTTCAAAAAATATATATTTTTATTTTGCATGTGAAAATAAAAATAATATCTATCCCTAAATTAAATAATTCAATTTTTTACAGGTAAACGGTGTATTCATGAAGATTTCACAATTACTAAGTCGTCTACATATAATTTATATTTAAATAACCATTTTATAAATAATATACAGCACAGCATACATTTAAAATATTTATCTGGCGTATCAGTACTTAAGAGACTTGAAACTAGTTGACATCAAATTATTATTTACATATTATATTCCCGTATTTATATTTTATGATTTAGTTGTAACATTAGAGAATTATATAGTATTGAATAATGGATGAATAATATACAAAATTAAACACCAAATAATTTTTTTTTTCAAAAATACGCTTACGATATGTGTAAATCTTTGAAGGCATATAAAGAGTGGACTATAAAGGTCCCGAGTTGTAAAGCCGTGATTATTTTAATTGGATTACATGTAATATAACTTTGAATTTGTAATCTATATCGATTATAAAATGTAAAACTATATTAGAAACATTATAACACAGGACTTAAGCCTTATTCCTATTCGTTTTCTAGTATAGTTATAAATGATTGTGATCTAATTTATAAATAAATAATATGTTTATATTGCATTTTGTATTTTTTTTATCCCAAAAAAGTTTATTCGAATCTGTTTTTCCAACTATATATAACAAAACAGTTATGTGCTGTGAAAATATAGCTCGTAGTAATTATTACGATTGTTATATTAGGTATATATTGAAAACCGGTTTCCTTTATTTAGTAATTTACTTACAAATTATTAAAACAGTTACAAAACTATAGACAATAAAAATTGAATACAAATAATTCAATTTAATGGAATGGATCTTTCCATGCTTCCAATTCTTTAAACTCGTAAAAAAAGTCGAATTAATAGGATTTTCAAAGTTAAATTTATTGATTAACAATAAGAGGATGTAATAAACTTTTTAATTTTAAGCTGAATACTGGCCGATTATACTTTTCTGACACCCAACAAAAATAACTAGACTATTGGCAAACTCTATGGTTGCATAGAGTACAACAAACTTATAACAGAAAATTACTTTTATCGATTTTCAAACACCTAACAAATATTAGTTTTTAGACAGTTGCTTGTCAGATAATTAAGTCTGTCAATCGTTCTCGATTTTGATTTATAGTAAGAATGAACGTCCAAAAATATTAAATTACAAGCATTAAATATCTACGTTACTCTCTCTTAACGATCTAATATCAATGTATTGTTACAAAAAATCGTATAGCATATAATTTAGATCACTTTCACTCTTAACAAGACTTGGCTATATTAGGGTTCCGTTTGGAGATCAGTCCGTCATTTGCATCATATTAAATTTTTGCCTCATATTATAAAGAGTAAATATTTGTTTGTCTGCATTGATCCCTAATAAACATAAAGCTAGAGAGCTGGCGAGCAAAATATCTATATGATTTGCTCATGTGCGCTGCGTTGTTAATTGTCACCCCACTCACAAAGCTAATGTTTAGAAACCTTGTCAAAATTAAAAATCAAAGGCAGACATCTAGTATTCTGACTTTTCAAGTTATGAATTTTCAAAGATTTTTTTTATAATTAAAAAAAACCCTGCGAAGGACCGCAGAAACAGATTTAACCCTGTAGCTTAAAAACGCAAATGTACGACATAAATAAATAAAATTTTGTCGTTTTAATCCGAAGTTTAATTCCAATACGAAATACGAGCAAATCATATTATCAATACGAGTATACATACTTAAATGCTCGCCAGCTCCCTAGGTAATAGGCAATAGAATACTTATTATGAAACCAGTCATGCGCATCTGGGACTTCTTTTTCTCTTTCAGAGGCCCTTTCTTTAATACTTTCTTAAAAACAAAATGTTCACTGTCGATTCAAAACTATACATTCACTAACAATCTTAAGCAACATCTCAACCTGTCCTATTCTGGAACGGAAAGTATTCTTGTGCAGCAGTAGTTTAATTATAAAATAATTATTATGCCAATGGAAGAAAATAGCTGCCCACCATACAGGGAATCCTAGTGTGGAGGAATGCACTTTCTCTTCAAAGTCAAAGTCAAAAATCATTTATTCATATAGGTAACACAATGCACACTTATGAACTTCAAAAAAGAAATATACATTAAATGCTTCTAATTTTACATTTACTGCCAGTTTATAAAGGGCGTGGAATGGAAGAGAAGAACTGGCAATAAACTCTCCGCCACTCTTTTTAATCGCCAAGTTTTTTGTTTTACACAACGTTTGTAAGGAGCTGCAACCATTACGCCGTCTTCTTATACTATACATGCTATTTTATGTGTAATAAATCTTTTTTGTCTTTTTCTATAGACTCGCTAGGTATTGGGTTTTAAGGCAAAAATATCTGTTTAAGTTGTTCCTGTCATGTACTATCATACATATAATTTTTTTGTAAGCAACCATTCTCAACGCATACCAAAACGGCTGACTGAATTATCTGAGACCAATAGGCAATTCAAGTATATGTATAATAATAGGAGTGCAAATTGACTCTTATAGTTTTAGATACATAAAGTTTAGGGTCATAATAACGTAAAATGACAGACGAAAACGTACATTTGACTATAATAAGACAGACTTTGCGTGTCAACGTGTTGGACTAGAGATGTTGACCAATCGCAATTCAACGAAACCCGCCGCCGTTTCGTCTTCTATATTCTCGCTCACTCTGACATAAGCTACGTTATCTAGAGGCCGTTAACGTTACGCACTGCTCGTAATATGCAGAACCTAAAACTTTGTCTATCTTCAATTCAAAGACAATGACCGATGTCATTTAGTTAAAATTAACTGGCTCGTGACGGGTTCGAATCCAGCACGCGATACTTTCTTTCCGTATTGTAATTAATTTGTAATTGCACAATCGTTACGTTGTCATTGATAATTCGTTATAATAACAATATAATAGAATGATGATGAATATTTTAATAAGAAAGTAGATATTTGTTTTTTTATATAATACATATATTTTATTAAAAATAAGTATAACATATTTTCAAGTAATTCAGAATAAATGGATTTATGATCCATTTATTCAGTTTAACACAAAAATACCAATTTTATTTGTTACAAATAAAAAATGTTTTAATCATACTTTACAAATGAATCAGCTAAAAGTAACATAGCCCAGGAAATTGTAAAAAATTTAAACACATCTTTAGTACATTTTAAAATACATCCCAAAACAACGAATTAAATGTGTAAATTACCGAATAATTTAAAGGATTGTCTTAATGAAAATGGCTTTTTACAAACAATTCAAATAATATTAATAATACACGTTGTTTTTAGTACTTATAAATAAATTAAGGCTATATATGTATAAGTTGGTTTAGCCAAAGGAACTCGGCAATTATTTAAAATATTTATTTCTCTTAATATTCTTCTTTTGATAACTGTAACAATTATACTTCATATTTATGCCAAAAATGTATCTGAAAGTACTGTCTTATAACTGTAATAATTAGTATGTACTTTGTTATCAGGCGAACTTAAATAAATGAAAAAAATACATTAAAGATCCTTATTTCAATTGACGAACATTACTAATAATAAAACAATACGCCGTGATCGTGTAAGCGTTGTTATTAAGATTATTTTTGGCTTTTATATGGTGTCTTCTGCTGTATATGGTGATAATTAAAGTAAAGTTTTGTAATACTCGAACCATGGTTTTAAAAAATAGTTCGAAGAGATAGGAAATATGCTATTACTTTCAATAAAGAGGTGTGTCAATGTAATAAATTGTATGAGAAACAACAATACAATGAGATAAATGATACACATAACGGTTGATGCACAGACACACACGGTCTAGGGTTATGATATTTGTTCCTAGAATAAAAAAAGAGAGGTGTTAGAGAGTGGCACAGTGCAGATAGAAATGGCAGAATTTGAAGGAAGTGTTTGCCAAAAAGGGGTACCCAGATGAGATGTATTATATGTGTATTTGAAATAAAAAGGCTTTTATTATCTATTATTATTATACTAAATAAACTAGTGGTGCTATCTTTTAAGGTCTGAGCCTTAGATGTCTGCTCGTATATTCGTGATAATTTGTTTTTTGAAGTTATACTTCTTTAGGCGCGTTATGAAAAATTGATGAGAGTGAAATTTTACGATGCGCGCGCACCGTTACACAAAATTATCAGTATGAAGTTGCGTGCGCGAGCGAGATGGGAATAAGACAATCTACAAGTAAAAAGAAATAGAATATGCGTGAAGTTAGCGTGCGTCTGAATTATAATCAGAAGTGATTTAAATTCAATATTTAAATCAATACTAATGAATATTAGAAAATATTTGTAAAAAAACTGTGCTCATCAACGCTGTATTAATTGGGAGAAAGAAGAAAAGGTATGTAGAATTGTGAATGTTGAGTAAAATTGAAACATGAACGGTTATTCATTGCTTTTGTTTATTGCGTTTGTTACAGCAACTTTTTTCTAATAGGCAAGTGATACGACTTTTGCGTCTGACACACGCCGTCGACTTTTTGGGTTTATGGTATGCTGCTCTGACGATGCTTTCCTTCACCGTACGAGTTTGTGTTAACTACTTAAAATTTACAAGTAATTAAATCTAAGAACAAAGATGTCAGTTTCTCTTCTTAATTTATCTTTTAATTACAAACATTCAAAATTCTTCAGTAAGTTAAATTATGAAACATTTAAGCATACAACCTGTTGATATGCTTGCTGCGAGACTGGTTTGAATAATTATTGTAAAAATTTAATTTGGTTATTTTTTCTAAATTCAAAAGTTTAATTACTTTTTATTAATTACGTAAAAGTATTTCCGAGATTGGTATTTATAATTTTTAAGTTATTTCAAATCGTATTATTAATAATAATAGTAGTATTATGAACACGTCGTAATCACCGGAATAGCTGTTAAATAAACAATTTGATTCGTTCACCTACTTTTCATATCACGGGCCAATAAATTCGTACGGGTCTTGTCTTCTTAAATTTTTATAATAAGTAAAAATGTGTTATATTTTAAATTTTTGAGTTGTTCGTCCACATACGAGTCACCATAAGGAAAATGGTCATATACAGTCTTTGATCCGGTTCAAATATTTAGCTTATAAAATAATTGACTAATTTTTTTTATCAAATGGTTAGGCGGCTCCTGAAACTAGATTAATTTATATTTTCAAATACGGGCTTTAATTTACTAAATACTAAATTAAGCTCGTAGAGAATTCGGCTATTTCATCACTTTTAATACGGCCATAAACTTTCTTTTAATGAAAATCACTACATTATTTGCATAACAAGAAACGTAGAATCTGTGTCAAAGTTTCCTTTTAACTTAGGAAAATGTTTGCTTTCCAAATCCTACGATTTTGTAACTTTAGTCACGCAAGACGGATGTTCACTTTTTGATTAGTTAAACTTAACAAGGATGAATGAAAAAGCGAAAGTTTTTGTTCATATTGCTATTTCGTATACCGTGTGTAGCGGTAGATGTTAGGGCTGCCATAAACAACAAATGCAAATTAAAATTGTGTGAAAAAATATAATTTATAATGTTATGTGTTAATTGTATTGCATTCTATTGTTTTCCATTTAATGACATGACATAATACTTCCCGTTTAAAGTATAACTAGGTTATCCTTTAATTTATCTGCAATTTTTTTATTAAAGCGTATAGGTAATACATACATAATTTCATATTTTGCTTGACACGACTTCATAGTTCATACTATGTCGATTTGTTTTGTGCAAAAGAGTATATAAATATATATATACATATATATGTTCTTTGGTGTCAAGTGACCAGACAAATTATTATTAACGAATATTTGATCTCTGCATTGAAAATATAATTAATTCATATAGGCAACTAATTAGCAAATAAACACGCATGGACATTAAAATAAAATAAAAAAATCTAAATTTATATGGACTGCCAGTTCTCAAATCAAGGAATGGAAACTCCGCATTTTTTAAAGTCGATATTTATTTTGTTTAGCCCACGCTATGCTTGATAAAGAAATAAAGAGATGCAAGAGCAAGCATTACTTACAAATTAACTGTCAGAATACGGTAATAGGAGCACGCACTCACACTATAGTGATAACAACACAGGCAGAACAAATCTTATGAGTGATACTTACAAGTCGTCGGAAATATCTGCGAACCTGGCTTAATGACGTCATACAAACTGGAGAGATAGCAAAAAAATTGAAGATGTAAAAATAAAAAATATTTTATTTGTGTACTTATTTTTATTGATATATTATAGTCCTACCCATCTTACATACAGCACTAAATAGGTAGTTTATGTAATATTTCACCAAACAGAGAAACAATAAACACTAAAATGCGATTACGAAAGCAAGAATAATACACGTGCGTCGGCGATTGCGTTGGCAACGGTACTGGATAGGCGAAAACGGGGCGGGGTGCGGGGAAGCGCATTCCAGCGAGGTTCGCAGATATTTCCGACGTGTAATATAGAATAATATCAATAGTCAAAGAAAGTTATTATGTAGGACAACTGACAACCCTACTACCAATTGTGGAGAAAGAAGAAATGGCGGTCATTGGACTGTCAGTTTTGACAGCGCACTGGCTGCGCGATGACGCGCGCCAAATTTTTCAATAAAACAAAAACTTAGCAAAACCCCTTCTTAGTTCCAATTATGGATATAAAAGACATTATAAAATGGTTCATACCATGTTTTCATTTACTATTGCGTTTCGCTAGAATGGATGTGCGTTTGACTTTCGTTTGTTTATTTTTATTTTTTTCGTGTCCCAGTTACGCGGGAAAAGTGAACAGTGCAAAAGATGTAGGTTTTAGTGATAAACATTATAAACAATTAAATATTTTTAGTGATTATTATAATTATAGCCAAAGCAAAGTTCCTTTAAGTGAAGAAATGTCTAGTTTGGAAGGAGATACCTCGATGGGTAAGTGGCGAGTTAAATTAGGGTCACTGACGTAGCTTTAAATACCTTTGCAATAAAGACCTGATTTCTAATGAAATACAGCTTCTTAGGTTATTTGGGTGAATAGTTGAATTATAATAGTTTATTTTAGTTTTTAAAGGAACTAAGTCAAATATTTATTTTGATGTCATACTGGTAATTCTTGAACTTTAACATTCTTGCAAATGTTATCGAATAACATTTGACATTGGGGCTAGGCTAAAATCTTACGACAATACTTACGTTTTATTAACTTATTCGGTGAACTTGAGAAAATCATGAAAGATCGATAGTACACTTACCTACATATGCTAATATATAAAATATCAAAATATCAGATCAAAAAAAATATCAAAATATCAGATCTTTTTGAACTAATTTGTTATATTTATTAAGTATTTTTCTCTTCAATTGATATTTAAAACACTTTACATATAAAATATTAAGTATTTGTATAGGTAAAGGTATATCGTCAGAATTAACCTCAAATATTTTATGTGACGTATTTGTTGCATATAATCCATTGTTATTTAGAAAATTGTATTTTATTGTTGATAAAAGATTTCTTACTTTTCTGTACTTATTTTTTTAAAAGATTTTCCAATACAATTTAGATACAGGTGTATCCAACATATCTGTATCTAAATTGTACTTATGTAATTTTCTCGACTGAGTCTATTTATGAACAGAGGTTGGGAATAAGGTACCTACTTACATTTAAGGAAATCTAAGGTCTTAAGTAATGTGTCATCTGAAGTGTTTAAATAAATTACCATTTATGGTTTAGTAACTAAAGCACATGGCGTACATCTGGAGGTCCTGGGTTTGCTTTTCACCAAAGCAATACTTATTTCAGATTTGTTATCATAAATAATGTTGAAAACTATTAATCTGTTTAATTTTTCTAAATTAATTTTAATTTATTACCTGATTGCGTATCAGGTGATCAGCCTATTGTGTCTAACAAACGTTTAGACATTTCCCTCGATGTTTTCCTTAATCGTACGTAATTGCGCTCGAAGAAGGAAAAGCTTTACCGGAATTTGACGCGCGACCTCAGGGTTAATAATATATAACCACTATACCTAGTGAATACTAATCGCAGATTTTAAAATTAAAACTGCGAGAATAACAGATATTTTCTAAATTCACATTTGGAATTAGTTTTTCGCAAAATAAGCACAATTTCTTTACGTGGCCGAGATTTCACAGCACATTGAGGACAACGAGTAGCCTTAATCACAATCTACAAAAACTATATTTTCTAAAATATAATGCTTTATGGAGTAGAAGTAATAGATATCTCCGGCACATATAAATTCTAAATGTGTATTACATATTTCTAAATGTCTATTTCGACAAAATGTTTTTGGAAAAAGTGCTTAATTTTCTATTAATTAAATAAACTTCGGGTATAATTACGACAAAATGAAACGACTTTTGGAGATTTCGCTTTAAACGACTTTTTAATATTTTTCCACGCGTGAATATGAAAGTAAAAACTAAGTTATTATAATGTTAATTATAATACAGTGTAAACTCTTTGTAACGTCTTTCGCTATAACGAATATTTCTCTATAACGTAAAAAGTCGTAAAATTTATTTGGTTTAACCCAATACCCATACATTAATTATTCCCTCCCTATAACGAAACCAGTCTATAACTTATAAAAATGCTCGGTCCCTTGAAATTCGTTATAAAGAGCTTACACTGTATATTTTTACCAGTGGCGGATTTACGAGCAAACTAAGTAGGCTGGAGCCTAGGGCGGCATATTTGTGAGGCTGTTTTTTCTTATTTGCTACCACCTAGAAATCAAAAAAAATCTGCATGACGGATTTCTGATGTTTTACAGGTCTGCAACAATGCCCGATGACTTTCCCCTCTCACCTAATCTATTAGGTGAGAGGGGTTGATGTGAGTCAGTGCAGATGTAGACATCTGCATCCTCAACTCACACTATGAGAGAAAAGAGCGAAATTGCAGAAAATGTATTTCCCTCTTCCCCTTATCAACCCATACATGTCAATCCTACTACTTGTTGGAGGCTGCGAACTGGATGGTTTGTGCACAATCAAAAATCAAACCCAATAAAGATTATTTTACGTGCAATTTCAACGAAATTGTTGGATTGTAAAAATAATGTTGCACATAACAATTGTAGAGGCAAGGGCGGCAAAAACTTCACAGCTTTGAAAATTTTTAAAACTGCCACTGATTTTACAAATTACAATTTTATAATTTTTTAATTATTTTAATTTGTCTCAAGGCTACGATTTGTAATTAATCATAGAAAAGAGTGTTTTTAAAAAAAAAAATATTCCCATAAAAGAAACGATACCAGGAAACAAATAATTGTTTTTATAATAGACACTATTATCATATTTTATTAACGATAAATGTGTTTGAATTATGCAATATTTTTTTATAAGCAAAGCCTATTTTATGAGCATTACAAACTGAACAATATAATTTTCAATATCACTGTTTACGATTCCACATTTCAAATAAATTTTATCAATTTCCAGGTCGTACCTTCGGACGTCCTTTCAAGAAGATGATCCAAGCGTTCATACCACTCGCATTTCAAATGGGCGCGGCATCCACTTGGGCTGTCGTAGCCGCTCTTGTGGGTGTCAAGACATTAGCCATAACATTGCTTATTCTCAAACTCTTGTTAATAGCTGGAGCTGCTAAAGTAAGTATTGAAAAAAAGATCGCCAAGATATTAGACATAATTTTTCTGATAAACGAAACCTGGAAAACGAAACGAATTGACCAAATCCAAAAAGCAAAGATTTATGTAATATAATAAACAGATTTTTATTTGGAAGTATTGTGTTATTTGGGAGTCTTTAGAATGCCTATTGTTCGTATAGTAAAAAGTACCAAAGGGTACTCGACTACACTAATGGTTAAGTCTATGCTCACGTTTATATTACATTGTACAATTTTTTTTTAAATATTGAAGACAATTTACAGTTATATTAACGATATTAGCTCTTACGCGCGTCTGCTTAGATATTACCGGGAACATGAAGGGGTTTAGGTAATTGTAGAAAAGTAACTAAGATTTATTTTCGTGTTTTAGATTGGAGCGCTGTTTGGTGCAGCTAAAGGTCATCATGGCGGATGGGAGCAACCTCACCAGAAAGAAATTCATCTGCACATACACGGACAACATGGTGAAGAACATATTCCTATATGTATGTATATCCTCCTATTTATATATTGTAAATTATTTATTTATAAATAACGAGTCGTTAAATTAGATTATTTATAAATCAGAGACCTCTAGTGTCTAGTTGGGAAGCATAAAAATTATAAATTTTAGTACAACTACTAACAGTTAGATGGCGCTATTACCAATCATATTTTAATGTACTAAAACATTTTAAGTAATGTTTACGATAAAACTCAAATATTTTATCCATTATATCATTATTGTATATATTTTAATACAAATGTTTGAAAGGACATGTTTTCCTTAAAATTTTCGTAGTCACTATTCAATAACAGATGGTGCTTTTTACAGCGTCATGGAATCGGGAGGGTCAAAGTTCGGATCCGAAGAATGTAAACGTGGTGTATGAGCCATATGGCGGACCACAGACTATCAGTACACCGTACGGACATTATATGAAGATTGAACCAGCTAATCAATAACAATAATTCTAAAAATATATTATAGTGAGAATGCTGGCTAGGCTCTTAAAGAAATCCAATTAAGTTCAGTTTAGTTTAATATTTATTCTGAATTATAGTAAAATATGAGAAAAATGTTCTGTACGTTGTCTTAAGGAGTGGCAAAAATATGTTGGACTCGAGTTTTACGATTAAATGATTTTGTAAATTGTATAGGAAAAATCAATCGCGTGAGTTGGTGTTTCCTCATTTTCTATTTAGATTTTCCAGTTTGAAATTTGTGACCTATGTACATATTTTATCTTTTACAACTTGAATTTCAAGGCATTCAAATTCCTTTCATTTATATAAAGTACGAATTTATCATTTCTTCAAAATTTAAAGTGTATTCGCTAAATAACTATGTTGCAATAATTAATAACAAGAACAGCAGGCTTACTCTGTAAATAGGTCTTCCATGCCTAACTCAAATATATTTCACATCACGTCCAAGCATCGCAAGAGCCAACGCTACCTACGAAAAGTAAAAGAACTACCTAAGAAAAGAAAAAGAACTACCTTTGTCTACCTAGGAAAAGAAAAAGAACTACCTTTTACTAACTACGAAAAGAAAAATGTGAGCCGTCACGGGACGCCTGGCAGATGTGAAACATCGACATTATTTTGTAAAAGTAATATGCAGAAAAGAACAGATTGTGATAGGAACTAAATATGTCATAATGATAAAATAAAATATTACGATTTTTTTCCAGATAACGATGACTATTTATTGAATAAACATTTGTTTTCATTAAATACAAAAATTTACGAATTTATTTCAAATCGTGACTACTTAATTCGTTTAATCAGTGACTTCGAAATACACACACCGTACACACTACTGCATATAGACTGTATATATATACCAGCATATAGCGTGGCGACGCGTCGCCACAGCATGCGTCGCCACGCCAGAAATCGGTTTTACGTGCGGCTATAGATGTTTCACATCAAAAAGAACTACCTTTAACTACTTTTACCTAGGAATATTAAAAGACGTCATAATTATTGGAATCGCTTCGTTAAAGGGCCAATGATTTAAAAATCCAAGACTTATTCATTTTACAGAGTATTCCTGCTTATAATAAAACTCGATTTGACGTTTCGAAATCATAGTTTAATTTTAAACTTTCTGAGTTAGGTTCTTAATAATTGTACCGATGGGTAAATAGTACTAAAGTTACCAAATATACACAAAAACAAGTATTATAATTATTTAATAAGGTCTAATATGATAATGTGAATAAACAGAATAATCTTGCTTATTGCTTCCTAATATAAGAAAGAAATTTATAAGGAAACAAACAAATGCAATAAAATCTTATTTTTAAGTATTACTAATAAGATTTCTCGTGATTTCGTATATTCAAATACCATAAATTTCATGAAAATCACATTTTAGCTGCTTATTTAGTGTTTAGGGCAAAAGAGCAGTAAATCTCTAAACTTTGTAATATTTTTTGAATAATTTATTTTTTTCCTTCAATATATTTCAGGGAAAGGAATATGTTAATCTTATGTTAATTTATTTATAATTTTAGTTTGTTATTGAGGAAAATAAAACAAATTATTATTTCTTTTCTTTTATTTATTTTTATTTATTTATTTGCTCAATTTTTTTATTTACCCTTACCTTATATAGATCTATTAAAACAACAACCTGCAACAGAACTTTGTAACGATTCGTGTCTGTGAACTTAGCAGAGCTTATCAGCTAAGCACAAAAAGTTGGAGTTTTTGTAGCACACATAATCTGTAGTTACTTAGTTAGTAGTTTTTAGAAAGAGTTCAGAAATTGATGGATCTGGAAGAAAATAGCTTGGAAATTTGTTTATTATGGAACATAAGATACAGGTATCACTTATTCCACGTCATTATATTTGAATAGGTAGACATCCCTACTCATCGGCAAAGAAGACAGAGGGTGTAGGCCGAGAGAAAAAGCCGGAGGAAATAACTCTCGGTACTCTTTTAAAATAGCCAATTATCAAACAACACTTATTTTAAATCAAGTATCGCAAATTAATTAGAAGTAGCCTGTCTAGCACTAGTCCCAGGCCCTTTTATCAACTAGATAATCGTTAACTTTATAGTAAGCCTATTTACACAGCTTTTCTTTAATACATTTCTTAAATTTATTAAAGGGCCTCTGGGATTTAAAGAAGAGTATCCCTTTTCCCAAAAAAGAATGACTAACTTTGTTCCGAGTATTAATATTGTGCGTATGTTCTATTCTAGTAAACTTATCACTATTTTTGTATACATACATAATACTTTCATAATATAATAATACATAATTTGCATAGCGCTGAGTGTGACTTTCCTTTTTCAAAAACATTTTTGACATTCTCTTTACAGAAACCAATATTTTAAGAATCAACATTGCGGGAGCCTCCAACACAAACTTTGATTATATTCAATAGACGATCAATCCGTGAGAATTAATGACAGTGACGTCATAATTAATTCAGCTGGTTTTCCTTGGATTATAACCTTGTGTATTTAATTTTTTATACGACTAGACGGTCAAAGTGTCCTGATAGCGCCACGTTCCTCAAGAATATGATAGACGTGATGTACTGGCCTCGCCAAGTAATAATAACACTGGTGAGCAACTCTGTATCTCAGATATACCTCTTTTGATATATTCAACAATATTGAACAATAACTTTGTTAATGAACATTATCTTAGTTTAACCTATTTACTAGTATTGTATAAAATTAAGTCAACATAATATTTCTTATTAGCCAAGATTATTGTATGGTCTTACTTAATGTCCCCTAGGCGGTCCCAATCAGTCTCCGTCACATTCGGTCTTGAACCTATTTTACCTAGCTCCAAGTCTTTCCGGCTCTTTTTGCCTCATCTGCAACTGTACATCGCTTTCACTTTCCTTGGGGGTTCAAATCAAGCGCCTGCTTGTGGATATAATAGGAATCTCTTCGGAGTGTTATAATTATTGTATGGCAAGATTGTAATTCAAATAAATTGCAGTCTCATTTGTAAACTTTATAGTTTAAGGCCGATTGAGTGCTCAAAATGTTTCAAATATACAGTCAGTGTATTTTTTAGCTCCTGCAAACCCTGAAAACTTGATTGAACTGTATTAGTAATAATACCTCATTTGTAGGAAGGAATTAAAGTGTAGGATACTAATTTATTTTAAATACATTTCTCGTTGACGATGTCTACAGACACAAATCGTGAATGATACTAAATCTGTGTTAAGTGTTTGCTTATTCCAATACCAATAAACACAATGTAAACAAGAATGCAATCTCGCAAACGCAGCGGAAAATTATAAACGGCTAAAATATAAGTCTTTCCTCCAACTTTGATTTTTTTACCTTTGGTGGTTTGGACTCTTGGGGTTCAAGTGCGCAGGCGCTTAATAAAGTTGGTGTCTGGAAGATATTACCTACCAGTGATCCTAGAGCTGATTATCAAACCTCGTCCTTTCCTCAATAAGTATTGCAATACAGCGAGGAATTCCTGCCAGTATTAATTATTTGGTCTATTGGGCCCAATTTTTTAATTGATTTTAGTTTTCTATTAATCTATTTTTAATTATTATTATGTAGGTTAGGAATATTATAAATACTCTATATTTGTGTGGATATAATAAATAAATTAAATAATAATAATATCACATCTTATTCTGTATTTTGTTTTCCATTTTTAAACCCACATAACACCGAAATGAATCTGTCTCTTTTCACCACAGCGTATACTCAACGTAGACTGACAGAAAAAGACACCAGTTTTAATTAAAGGACTGCATTTTTCAGACCCGTAATGAAAAGGTACAAAAATCTGCACCAAGAGAAGAAGACGTCTATAAATTTAAATAAAATACCTACATTAGATTTTAGCAGGATCTCGAACAGGTTTTGAACAAGTGTACAAATTACCGAATTTATAATCAAATCGGTTTGACTTTTAAATACCAAATGTGACTTTAAAGATAACCTCTATTTTGCTTTCTAAATATTCAAACATATACAGTGTGTTGTAATAAACTTATTAATTACAGTCATAAACGGGCTCGTTATCTAAAACTTCAAAATGGCGGTCAAAAGACTATGTTATCGAAAATGGTAATTACGCATCAGGGTGACTTTGGTGATATTTCAGCGTTGCGATTCTGTAACTCACTTTTCGAACTCTCACAGCGGTTTTCGCAGCGGCGGTCGCGCTCAAATTAGTCGTAAAGCAGTCATTTTACGATTTGGCATTCTGGTAAACAATAAACTACAAGCTCCCCTGATCAGAATGCCAAATCGTAAAATGACAATATTTCTAAAGACATGATATGAAGTATTCTTGCATAGTAAAAACCTACTTGTTACAGTATAATTGAATCAGAACTGCAAAAATCTGGAGTCCATTCGAGGTCTGTTATTAACAAAATCTCGTGTGTACCGTAATTTGGATACTACCTGGACCTAAAATTAATTATGCGGAAAACTGATTGAAAAATAATGTTATAAAACCGACAACGTTTTTGTATAAAATATATGTAAATCTATATATATTATCGAACAAATCATAACGGAATACTTCAAAGAAATAAAAAAAATTGTGCGTGTACTAGGTGTACACACGTAAGAAGTGAAACTTCTTTATGACCTTATTTTTCGAATAATGTTCTACTATATGCAACTTTACAGAAATTGGTAAAATAAGTTATGAATACAAATAATACAATTATATCGTTTTTATATATTTTTGTGATTAATGACTTCGAATCAACCGTGGAAGGGACAAGAAAAAAGATGGCGCGTAACGGAAAAATGTGACGGTGATTTTTTTTACCAACGCCGATAAAGAATTTTCACTTTAATAATTTTGAACAAATTTATGCTATTTTGCTTATGATATATCTAATATATGGTACTTAATACCTCCGACAATAATATAGTTCGGTATTCGACATATAACATATATTATTAAACAAAAAAAACTACAGCAGCATTACTAA